TCGTGATTCCTCCCTTATAGCTCTAAGGCCACCGTGTATAGCTCACTTCCTGTCTCCCCATCTAGGCAGTGAGCTCCGTGAGGACCATTTGCTATGCCTTTTTTGTCTTTTTAGCAACATCCCCAGGGACAGGATAGTTAATACTGGGGAAGTGTTGATTACGTGTTTGTTAAAATAAGATCCATTCTACATTGCTTAACAGTAACTCACATATTTTATACAACACCTTCCCCTCCCCTTGCCATTCCTCTTTTAAACTACCCCTTTTCCGTACCCAATTCCAAAAAAATAAAACAGTACTTATTTATTTATTTATTTTTTCACAAAACCATCCAGAAGGAATATATTCAGCGTGTTTATACAGGTCACAAGACCATGAACAAATCACTGTCTAGGTGACTTTGTTCATTTTCTCATGCACAGCAGATGTCTCTGAGCTCAATAGTGGAACCATTCTGATCGGTTCATTTCAGTGTTACTTTCGATTAAATTGATCAGCAAAAACCACACTCCATGGAAAGGTGATCAGAAAAATTGGTGCTTGTGGTTTTCTCATGAAAAATAGGCTAACCTCTTAGGTACATGATCTGACGATACCTTAAGAATGTTTTGGAAAATTGTTCTGTAGCTGAGTCTGCAGTCACAGCCCGCAGCCTAGAGAGGAAATCACACACTCGGACACTGTGTTCCAAGAAGTATTATTGATGGTGATGAAAATGTGCTCAGAGAGAGCAATAAATCAGGGGCTATTTGACCCGTTCCATGAATGCACTCCATGCTAGGTTTCTACAGTAAATACTCCTCAATGTGTTTGCCATCTTTTCCCATTCTCCAGGACACACACACACACACTCCATCAAGATTTAGGTAGGAAATAGTCCAGCCAGGAGAGATGGATACAGTGAGAACAGAGAATTTGTTTTAATAAAAACCTTGCAATTTGCAGTCAGAAATGATTCAAGGGAAGGCAATTGCTGCTGTTTGATTGAAAGAGTCTACCATTAATTAATAAGAAAAGCACTGTTATGGTATTTTGAACACAAGATATTATAATTAGAGCAGTTGCCTCATTTGTAAGGAAATAAAACTGTAATTCTTAGCAATGAGTTACAGTTGACAGGTGAAGAAGCTACGCTCCCACATTCAGTTAAGAAAAAGATAACTAAGGATTCATGTTTTTTATTATATATGTCCCCTTTCTTGGAAAGTTCTTCCCTAAAGTTCTAGGTTCCTTGACGGCAGACATGAAAGTATCTATAAGTACTGCACTGACAGTGGTCAAAATTCTGTGCCCCATGTAAGTGGCTTTGTCTAGATTGGGGCATTTGTTACCATAAAAACAGTATGAACCTGGCTCAAATATTGTTTTATCTGAAGCAAAATCTCCTTTGGAGTGGATCTATTTCAAAAAGATTTCATTGAAGTGTTGTAAAGGACTCCCTTTAAGGCTGTCTGATCTTCCCTTGACATGGCAGAATTACGGGGAGCCTTTGATGAACTGAGCACCCAGCAGCTTGTAGGAGTGGAAAAGAATGAGGGTCAGGGCTGGGCACAGAGACCGGGGCATGGGAAGCAGCTAGAAGCTAACGTTTTAGGTGCCTCCTAGATGCCGGGCACCAGAGAGAGGGGCTTTCTCGTGCTTTATTTTGTTTCGCTTAATTCTCCACCAGAATCTTGCAATGGAAATTGTATTGTCCCGTTTTATAAGTGAGGAAACAGAGGCTCCCGGAGATTTAGAGATTTGCTCACATGGGCCATGCACGGCAGAGACCGGGTTCAAATCTAGGTCCTTGGAAGCAGTGAAGTGTTATTCCTTATATCCCACAACACGTGACACCACCCACAGCCGACTTTGGAGTCACTGTACTGGGGTTTCCTTCAGCTCTGCCACTTACTGGGTGGGGTTGAGCAAGTCACTTAATCTCTCAGGGTTTGTTTCCTCAGCCCTCAGCACAGATTACAATGCCTTCTCTGTGTCCATTGGAGGGGTGTGGTGATGACCCAAAAAATAGCACAGGTCAGAAATCACTTTGTAAATTTTAAAGCACAAAATGTATATGAAGAGTTGTTATTATACATACAGCCTTTGGCCCACACCCGCAGAAAGGGGTATCAAGAAGGAGTAACGCACTCTGAGAGACACTGGTTTTGTGGTCTACGAACTTGCATTCACAATTGCGTAAAGGTTTCTTTGCTATGAGGGTCGATTAATTATAGCTGCTGTTCCTTAGTGCATGGCTTATCTTACATACAATTAATTATTCCATAAATCAAATAAGCAAGTTGTTGGCAAATGACATCTGCGGTCTTTGAGCTGACAGCAAAATATATTATGCACCATAAATATCACAGGCCAACTTTTGTTTTCTAGACATTTTGGTGCTGGCACCCAGGAACAGATTGTTACTATGGAAAAATACTTGTGCTTGTTGGAGACAGCCACATATATCCAGCCCTCTCAGTGACTCAGGGGACAGCTCTTTAAGTTCTGACCTCTGGTCAGCAGGCTCATTTGACAATTTATGACAAAAATGCAATAATTGAGACCTCATTGAAATAATTTTGTCAGGACAGATAATATGCTTTGTTTGGAGATCTCTGGTCTCTAAATATTACTTTACTGATCTTATGTGACCTTGATTCCTTCTTTTTTATTTTATTTTTTTATATTTTTATTGAGGTATAATTGACATATAACATTACATTAGTTTCAGATATACAACTTGATTCAATATTTGTATATACTGCAAAATGATCGCCATAATAAATCTAGTCAATGTCCGTCACCATACATAGTTACAATTTTTTTCTTGTGATGAGAACTTTTAAGGTTTACTCTTTTAGCAACTGTCAAAAATGCAATACAGTATTATTAACTATAGTCATCATGCTGTACATTATATCCCCAGGACTTACTTATTATATAACTGGAAGTCTGTACCTTTTGAGCTCCTTCCTTCTGCTAACAGCACCTGGAATAGTGCCTGGCCCATAGTAGGTACTCCACAAACATCTACCTCATGCTCCAACCTTAGACTGTTTACTTTCTGTTTCCTCAACACTGTTGACTGATTGCTTCTCTCCTTGCAATCTCACTTGACCTTCAAGTCTTAAACCGTGTGGAGACCTGGCTGCAGCCAACTGGGTTGAGCCTTAGCGTCAGGTCTTGATTTTGTCTTGTGAGCTTCCAGTTGGCTCACAACTGACAAGTTGCAGTTTTGCACACGTTCCTGGCTCTCAACTTCTCTCTCTTCTCCCCCGACAGCCTCTACTCAGGGAGAAGGATGACCTTTTGTGTAGCAATTGTGGTTGGTTGAGATTGACAGAATATCGTCACTCTGGGTAGCTTGACTTAATGTATTTTAACATCACTCCCAAAATGTCTTTTTTCATTTCTCAATGAGATCAGAACTTCTTAATAGAGAAGTTTGCAGTGTAATGTGTTCTTGACCTAGAGAGGTATAAATGGTTCTCAGTTATTTAATTTGGTAAATTATCCATGTATTGATAAATTATAAAATAACTTTCAGTCTTTTAACATTCTATTATCCTTTGGCTCTTTTCTCCTTAACACGTTAGCAAGTCAATTAAAAGGGAAATGTTAATTTATTTTAACCTTCAAATATTTCTTAAAAAACAGTGAACTGCTCTGTATATCCATGTGCACCATTATAGAAAGGTCATACCATTACAATCTATCATGACATGCGTACTATATTTCATTGATTCTAACATGCACATCTTTTTATATGTTAGTATCTCTGAAATTGGCTACATTTTACAACTGAAGCATCTTAGTACTGTTTCGTGACTTAATGGACAGTATTTCTTCTTTCTTAGGACTATATAAAATAGTGGCATATCATGCAACCAATGGTGCCTTAGAATGGACAAAAAGTAGTTTAAAGCTAATCATAGCTAAAAATTTTAATTCACACTTGGTAGATATCCTATAGTGTCTGGTTCAATCTCATTCCATCCTCCTTTTGCTGTGCTTCTCTGTACTGCATAAGTTGCAATGCTTAAAAATTTCTTGGGCTTCAATGTACCTAGAATCCTGGCTGAGAATTGGGTTTTGTTAAATATATGAGCACATAAAAGTTGGAAGGTGAAAATGAGACAAAGTGTGCCTTTCCGTTGTTGCTTTTGGGTGTGTGCTTCTGGCAAACAGGGTTTTGAAGACAATGGGTTCCTCTGCAAGAGCATTCCAGTGGCCTTTTTCCAGCATCCTGGGTCCCAGAGGCAGCTATGCAAGTAACAGCAGGAGCTTCAGTGGGTTCCTGATTCCAGCTTCCTGGTCTCTGGATCGCTACTCTGTGGTGTGCTCTCTGAGTCAATAGTCCTAGTGGTGGGATCAGAGGTCCCCTGGCAGATGAGTTTTGTGCTGTTCTGGGAGCAATTTCTGGAGGCTCAGCCTAGAATCCATTATTCTAGCCTTTCCAACAATTTTATAAATACCTAATTTCCTGTACTGGATAACCTCCTGCTTAAAATGCCTGGAGTTACATCAGATTATTAAATGCACTCTAAAACAAATAAACATGTTGCAAAGCAATGAGGCCCTTTACCAATCTTCTTTAGATCAATCCTAGTTAGTTTTTAGACCTAATACACAAGCAGTAGGGTTTGTCATCATGGTTGAAGTAAACAATGCAATGCAAATGATTACCTTTGGAGAAACCACAGCACTTAATATCTCTATAACCTCATTATATGACTATAGAAGGAGCATTATTATTTCAATAATATCCTCAATTTCTTTATTTAAGTCAGAGATGCATAAGCAAATAAGAGGTGGACACATAAATAAATCACCGTTTAATTATGAGAAAGAACTACATGAAATACTTTCACATTTATCTCTGCATTTGTCACTCAAAGAGATAGACTTTAAAGAAAAAACCCCCACCAGATAGAATATCAACAGGAACCATCAGTCTGACCTTAAATAAGTCATTTCATTTTGTTTTGACTCAGATCTTTTTTTCTACAAAATATAGAGAATAAGACCTGTCACTTGCCTGGATTTCAAGGATATTGTCAAGAAGAAGAATGTTAGCCATGGCCTTTGCATCTACTTGGAAGAGATCTTGTAAGTTTTGGGTATTATTAAACTTGGTTGTGTACCCTTAGTACAATTCTTATTGCTAAGACTTCATTAAAAGTCATCAAAATTTGAAATTAAGTGTATATAGTAGATTGAGCTAATTAAATAGGGCACATTTCTTTCAAAATTGTAGTTTGAATCTGCACTGTGAAAGAGCTGTCTATGGATGCGCTAATGAAATATATCCCAAGGTTAAACCAGGACTGCTCTGAAAGCCATTAGGGATCAGTTCAAAGCTAAAAATAATTCACTAATAAATGTTCCTCATTTCAAGTTCCCTTTGATTAAAAGGTACATCTTAGAGACCAATGATTTTCAGGTTAACTGTCACTTTTATATCTAAGATTTTTTTTTCCTTTTTTAGTTTCTAGATCTGTGCTTCTTAAGCCTCTTATCAATGTGCTAGTGAAAACTTTCCTTTAGGGCATATCAGTAATGCTGAACAAAGGGAGGAAAGTCAACCACGTAGCTTTTCCTTAAAATAATATTTTCATTTCTGTTAAGTCCATTATGAAATCAAACTGGTGCCTCCTGCTGGTATCTCCTGTGTGATTTTTCATTGGTTAAACCAGGGCTAAATAGCAAAAGAGTTAACTTAAAAATAAGGAGAAAAGTAATTTAAACTTTAGTGTCAAGCTATTTCTTTCCAAGATGAGAATAAATGTATTCCTTTCAATCTGCAGTTATGGAAGAAACTTATATACTTGAATTATTATACCTATTTTTAAGTAGCAAGAATAGAAATTCCAAAAAGGTTGCATTTTTATTGCTAATGCTTGCAAGGGGTGGTTAGATGCACGAACTCTGGAGATGAATACATCAACCCCAACTCTGCCACAGGAATTTATTAGTTGGGTGACTTTGGACCAATTACTTAACTTTGCTGTATTTCTCAGTTTGCAAAGGGAGAAAATAATAGTATTTGTTTTTGAGGGTCTTCAATGGCATGAAATGAATTGATGCATTTAAAAAGAGTCTTAAGAAAGAGCCTAGTTTATACAAGTGCTCCATAAGCTATTATCACTCCCTGTAATGGAATCACTTCCCACAATATGGGACACTGTCTTACTTCCTTGTGTGCATGGCTTATCATATTTAGAAACTTGACTTCTTACATGGTCCAGGTCAAATGAAAATTCTTTCTTCTACTTAAAACATAATAGATAATATAAAATAACAAAAATCAACACCATATGAAATAATCACAATCAGTATGCTCAAGGATTGGCTTGCGCTGAGTATTTCTACAGATACATGCCCATGATTTGAATACAATCAGCATACATGAAAAGGTGGCAAAACGAATCTAGACATCCCTAACACTACAAACGTATAGATTTGAAAACATATAACCCTTGGATTATATTATTCAGCTTTCATACAGTGGATCGCTGAATTACAGAGACACGGATAGAGCATTTTCCCCCAAAATTGTGTCCATGAAAAAAAATTGTGTCTACGTCTTAAAATCCCCCATGGGAAAATAAAAAGAGTGGAGGAAGGGGTTCCACAGTCAAATAAGGTAAATTAGTTGAGGAAGATTGAGTACTATGTTCTTTTTTGTGAATTCACATTATTCATTAGTATATTAAGGTCTTGAAATAAGGAAACCTATTTAACTATGTTTAACCAATTTCCCCCAAATATTCAATCCTACGATTTTTGTCCTCATTATTCTCTTAAGGAACTTGAAATGAATTATCAAAATCCATGGACTACCTGCTGGCTGGATTAAGGCCATTTCCTGGTTCCCCCCAAGACAGCGAATTCCTGCTTCTGGTGATATGATGTTTTAGTTTTTTCTTTTACTTTGCTTTCAGTTGAGTGACTGACTGATATTTTAAACTGTTTTCTGATTTCCTTTCCCAGTGGGTCTCAGTTCATCAGGAAGAAAGGAACCCTAACACACGAGGGTGTTGGAGGAGGGAAGTGAACTGGAATGTCCATCCTTGGGAATCGAATTCTTATAAATACCTTGTGTTTTATCAAAATCTTCTCTATGATCTGGGACTTGATGCTTAACTCCTTTGGGCTTCTTTTCTTCAATTTATATATGAAGAAAAGAAACCAGTGCTCTCTCCTTCACAGGTTTAAGTGATTAAATGAGGTAACAAATGTTAAGTTACTCTATAGTCAAAAATCAATACAAATTGTCATAGTAGGGTTGCTATTCTTTCTGTTGGGTCTACAGTAATGGTGGTGAATAAGCCTGTGAAATTTGGGAAGTGACAGTAATAGCTTTACAGGTAAGGATTCCCCAGGGTGGCTATGATAGAAGGAACCACTAAAAGGATGTTCAAATAAACCCGGATGTGAATATAAAACCTTTCACTTTGCCTTCTTAAAATAGAAAATATTAATATGTTACATGGCTCTAGATGGCTTTAGGTGTGTACAGTGATTTTCTAAAATTAAGTGTATCATCTCTTTTTCTCCTAGTTCTCATGGATGAGTGATTTTCTGTTCAGTGGTTCTATCTCATTTATTTGGGAGTGATGTTTCTGACATTCCTTTAGGATTTTTTTTCCCCTCCCATTCAGAATCTGTCCATTTCATCACAGGGTCTTCAATATCTGTGACATAGTCAAGAAAGTCCTGGATTTGGTGTCAGAATTGCTGCATTCAGGGCTGCTGTCTGTGGCTCGCACAGGTTCACACACTTTGAGAGATTGGAATGAAAGAGCACAATGAATTTCAAAGTGCCATAGATATTTAACGTTTTTTAAATCTTCAATATTATATGCCAGATCCTACCTACATTAGCTACTTCTGGATAGAAATCAGACAGTTTGGAATGTTCATTAAGTATTTTAGCATGTCATTTAGAGCCTAATTTTAAACTGTAGTAAATGTTCTAAGATAGTATGCATGGTAGACCAGATATAATCTATTTAAACTTTAAAAAATAAAGAAAGAAAAATGTGATGGGACTGCTACATAGTTACACGTTAGTAAAAAGAAAGTGTTCTAATTGCCACCCATGAATATTTTGTGAATATCCTCTATGTGGTACACTAGCCTAGGTATTGAGGATATAAAGAAGTAAGAGATCCACACTTATCTTTTGAAAAGGTAGATCATTGCCAAGCATAGAAAGAGAAGGGAGTAGAGAATTCCAGACATGGATAAAAGTGTAGTAGTGGGAGTGTATATGCACTGCTCAGATCACATGGAGTAAAACGGTAGGTTAGGGAATAACAGGAACTAAACCAATGAGTATTGTCTGGGAGATTGTGAAGGGTCTAGAAGGCCATTGTGTACTAATGTGGTGGAATGAATAATCACCTGTGACAATCCTTTGAGTAAAATTTAAAGTATAAGTGGCCTAGCCATTATAATTTGGCTGACAAGTTATTTAGCTGAATTTTTATGATTCTGAAAAGTTATTTCTCTTTAACAATGGCCTAGCAGGTTCACAATAAATTTTCCATTGCTTTTCAAGAGAAGTCTGATAGTATTGCAAATAAATACTTCTAAATATTAAAAGAAAGCAATTTTTTTGGCGATATTTTTTCTTAATTTCTAAACCCATGAAATCTTTGTATTGCAGAGGAGTTTGGGGGCAAACTTTGTTGTTTATACGTATTTACCCAGAATCTACACATCCACAAAATTTCTCAAGTTTCTGACAGCAGAAAAATAAAATGAACAACTTAATACAGAGAATCGTAATTGGAACAGATTCAATGAAGAGTATGTGGAGAATGAAGAAGTGGAGAATCTATTTAAAACTGACAGCTCATCAGATGTAGTCTAGTCAATGGTTATATTTGTGTAAGCTTGAAAGCCAAATAAACATGTCTGAAATCTCATTGGTAAAACACTTTATGATTTTTTAAAAAAATTTTTGGTTTGGCAAAAGCTCCTTTCTAGGTTCACTGTATCCCACCAATAGAAGGGCTGACTCCTAAGGAAATTCAAAATACATCCATGAAAATGGAAAATTATAGGGTGCCAAGTGTAACATGGTGCATGCCCGCAGAGACGTTATAGCCAGAGGGAAGGAAATTCCAGCCAATGCCTCTGTCTCTTTCCAGCCATTTGAAATTCCTACCTTGACCAATAAATGGTCCAGGAGTCAATGGAAGTGGAGAGAGTGCATCTCCTAATAAAAAAAATTAAACATTGACAACAGAAGGCTTCTTCTTTCACAGGCAAACATGATTTTGAAGTTTTCCTTCCTACTGAAAAGAATTCCCAAATTTACAAATAAAAATGCTTTGATTCATAAATTAACCCAGACATTTTCATGTTCTATAGGCCTGACATATACCTGACAGAAACCTCACAGGGTCAGAAAGTCATGTTACCCACCCCCACTGCTCAGCTCCTGGAGGTGGAGAAGGAATTTCTCTTCTGCACGCCTGTTTGTTCAAGTCTGAGAGAAAGGGTAATGTTATAGTCTGTGATGGACTTAACACGAGGCATTTAAGTCAGAGCCCATAAGTTTAGGCTTTCTTTTCCCCTTTAGAATTTATTGGGAAAGGATGACTTACAATTATTTGTTATTTATTTTGGGAGAGACAATTATATTATTTTTCGGAAGCTCCTGAGCTTAATAAAAACAATAAAGGATTCATAAACTACGGATAAACGTGGTTCAGAAGCATAAGTTTTTTAACCACCTGCTCCTTACTTCATTTGACAATATTAAGGGGCAGCGCTTCTGATGTTTCCATAGCAATTGGAGTAGTGGGCAGGAGAGCTATAATTAAGGAGGAGTAATGCACTGGGATTGGACTGAGATTTTATATTAAGAGCAGCATTCTGTTTCGTTCTAATTAGTGTAACTTATTCCTTCCACAAACATATATTGAACATCTTTTGAAAACAAGGCTCTCTTTGCCTGCATTAAGATCTCGAGATATAAAAGGAAAGTCCGAATATGAGTTACACCAAAATTCATTTTGAAATAACATGTCAAGAAGAAAACCAAAATTAAGCAAAACAGAGAATTCTTGGTTTGAACAGGCATAGATCCTCGAAATTCTGTGAACACCCTACCTGGAAGCTTCCCTATAGATTGTCCACTCCAGTGGCCTCCCTTTAAAGACAAGAACTTGAAGCCCAGAGAGGTGAGGCTAGTACTGTTAGACAGTTGCAGAACCAGTAACAGACCCATTTCACTAGATTTCTGGTACAGTTACACTTTTTTAGTATGACACGATCACTTTCAACAACAAACAACAAAACCCAAACTGCTTAATACATTTAAATCCAAGGCAAATCTTCAGATCTTCCTGTGTGCTCGGGGTGGAGGGACTTGAGGAAGCAGATGAAGATGGTGGACATTTGACATTCCTGTGTGTACTGAGTGCTGAGCGCTATGCTAGGCACCTCCACTCTTGATCTCCTTACGTCTCTGTAACAACTCTGTGAGCTCAGTGCTATCATCTCCATTTTCCAGAAGAAGAACGTGGGACCAAGAGAAACAAAGAAGTGTACCCAGAAACACACATTTTGTGAGTGTTGGACTTAGAATCTCAACTTCTTTCTGCCTCTAAATTCTTTGCTCTTTTCACTGTACCTTAATTATTGCCTGTTAGAGGATATTGTGCATTTCTTCATAAATGAGTCCAATTTTTGCCTACCACCTGGTTCTTATGACTGTCCAGATTGATTTTTCTTTTAAGTTTATATTTTGCAACTGTGGGCTTTTTTCCTTTCCATTTATCTCTTGTCTCAGTCCTGAGGTTGGAAAAAATGAGAAATATGCTGGCTTTGTTTGGATTGAGAACATTCCAAAATATTTGGCTGCACCTCAAAACTCTGTTAAAATAATATTATTTATAACTTTCTGCTTGGTCAATTTTATTTTAGGTTTGGCTATTTCCACAGGAGGCTGTTCTTTCTCCTTGATGGTAGGGTTTGCTGCTTGAAAGTCTTAATCACAAAACATTTTCCAAGTAAGACTCAGGACCTTGCCTTTGGGATGAATGGAAACTTGTTAGACAATAGCCCCCGACCAGTTCAAGCAGTTAATTGCAGGATCTCACGCTCAGGAGCTGTAGGGTGAAGTGGTGGCAGGGAGAAAGCCATCTGTTTACACGGGAGCCCTCGACCCTAGTCCCAAAGCTAATCACGTGACCCGTCCAGCCCCATGATAGGCTGCATTTTAGAGCTGGGCTTTGGTGAGGCATGCTGTTTCCCAGAATGCTTTTCTGAGGAGTGCAGAGTTAATTTCTTCTCCATTTCTCCTCAGTAAGGCTATTATTGTTAGCAGATCTGTTTAGCCGCCTTAGTGGCTTGGGACCTTTCATTGACTTTTGAGCAGATGATTTGATTTTCAGGCAGAGATGAGGGAAAAGGCAGCTAGTAGAATCATTGCAATGGAACACTCACAGCAAATAGCAGGGAGACGGGCTTTTGGCAGGGCATACCTGAAAGAGAAGACCTGTCTTGGCCTCCATGCATAATTGAACACTGTTTACAATTAGTGGCAAAGCAATGTGAATCACAGAGGCCGAGGATATGTCATCTAGAGATTTAAATGAATACGGTTTCTCTGAAAGACCATTCCCTTTCAGACAAAAATGATGGTCAATGAAGTGGCAATTCACAATGAAATAACAGTGCTTCGCTCCCAAGAGCAGCTTACCTACAGGAAACAGGGGCAAAAGACAGAGAATGAATAACTAACCCAAAAATGTGGTTACATAACTGCTTAAATTCCACAACTTGCAAACTTGTGGCCTCCTTTCAGCCTTTAGAGACATTCCTATCCCGGTGGTTGCTGGTGGCACCCATTTACATTTCTCCATCTCCCTTTCTCTCTCGTACCTAAACACCTATTGATTTTCCCAGAACCCCAAGCTCTCTCCATAATAGGAAGATTTGGTGCACATCCTGTCAAATACAAAGGAAAGCCTCTGCCAGACTGAGCATTAGAACATGGTGTTTTAATAGAAATGTGAAATATCGATGCAATTATAAATCAATGAAAACCCCGAGGGAAAGAGAATCTCATTTGTGGGAAGATCTGTAAGTTTTTTTACTTTCTTTTTTTTCTTGTAAAGAAAAATTGAATCAGGGAGCCAAATTTACGAGGTAAAAACTGTCAACAAAGTATTCCTAGTTGTTGCTGGGGCTGAGAAAATGATAGCGAAATCATGCATGCAGTATGAGTATGTGAAGTGACACATTTTGATATACTAGTTAGGGGGTCAAAAATAACTCCCCTCTTTCGCTTAGGTTTTCGGCTGTTGCCCCAAATTGTTATTGTTTTCATTATTTTGCTAATACTGTTCTTTATGTCCTTTTCCAAATTCTGTATTTTCTCTTAGTTTTTCCTTCTGTTATCCTAGATGATGTTTGTGGATTGCTAGGGTAACCTTTGGAGTCTTAAAAGTTCAGGCTCGTTTGCTTAACGCGTGTGCTGTAACTCATGACACAGACCAGATGGAGAATTGTGCAGTCACAGGGCTGCAGTGCCTCCAGTAAGGCACATTACCAAGTTGAGGACTAAGTCAAAGAGTAGCACAAGTTGGGTAAGGTAGCAGGGTATAAAAAGCTGCACAGAGATCAGAGGATAGTCCATGAAATTGGTGGGGCTGCAGCAAGCAGATTGATCACTCACCATAGCCTGGATCTGTCTTCCATCACGGCAGTGGTGTTTCTCATGCTGGACATAGAAAATCTTTGCCAGCCTCTTACAGAAATTCTGAACTTGCTAAGGGAAAATACAGAAGTATGAGAGAAGGAAGGGGAAATATGTGAGGGAGAGAAATGGAAAACAGATTGAGACTGTTGGAATGGGAGAAAAATATCTTGATTTGGACATCATTTTCCAAGAATCATACTTATCAAGACAAAAATTTCACAATTATCTAAGATTACGATAAAAATTATGAAATTTGTTATCCAGGTGATGTAAAGATAGGAAAGTATGAACATAACATCAATCACATTTGTGATGGTGGTAAGGGGACAGAGTCACTGCATCACCATCAGATGCTTTGTGCCAACGTGCTTATAGTTTTTCTTGTTTCTTTTTTTATGCCAAAGACAAACTGGTGCATTTTAAAATAATTACTCAAGATTAATAGTGATAACTTATGTTTTGCAATTTATTTAGCTGATTTCATGCACTTTTGAAATTTTTCTCGTATTTTCAACTACAAGTTACTTTGGACTTCTAGAAAGTTCAAAGGAAGGGGGAGTCCATATACTGACCTACCACCAGCTCCCACAGCCCCACCTCTCCCTTGTACATCACTATGCTTTTGGTTTATAATTTGATGGAAGATAGGAGGTGATGAGTCCAGTTCTGGAAGCTTCCTTAGAAATTCAGCCATCATGGGCAAAATAAAAAGATATTCTGAAAAGCAGGAGTTTGGTAGTATGAGGAAGAGGTGCTTTTAATCTTCTTTTGCCTCCTGCTTAGTTAGGATTCTTAGACAGTATTTTCTTTTATTAAAATTGTAATACAACTATACTAGGAGTGATTGTAAAATATGGACTCTGGAGGCAAAAGACAGTACCTGGTTTGGTATAATAGAGATTCCCAGGGATAAAATAGAAGGATATGTTTAAAAATTGTAATCTATATTCTTCCTAAAAGGTATAGTTAATGTAAGAGTTAAGCATCCTTAAATACTGTGTAGTGACTTTGTTTTAGAAAAACTTGTTCTGAGTTGTTCATGGAAATCACATAGGCGTCTGAGTCAGGATGTTCCTACAGCATAAAGCAATATACGTCATCCTGAGTCTACACTGAACTTTGAAGTAAACAGATCTATCCTTAAGGTACAGGCAAATGGAATATGAGGATTGTTTTCATATTTATAATATCAAATAGAAACATCACTTAATGAATCCAAGCTTTGCCAAAGGCCCACTTAATGATGTTTACTTGGCTTAGGAAAATAGTATCAGAGACCCATTTGCCTTGGAAGGTTAGGAAGGAATTAAAATAGAGAAGCGTTGTCCTTCAAAAGGAAGTTACCAGATGTTTAGATCTAGAATTTTTAGATGATGATACTGTATTCTCTGAAGTGATTGAGTCATGTAGGTCAAAATTCCCCATGGAAAATGCGTTTAGACATATCCTAAATTATGTAGAAAGAGACTTGATACTTCTATTACAAAAGAGAGGATACAGGGTCCTTAGGCAGTGAATACAGGGTGCAGTAGTAAGGTGTCCACCAAGAAGTTGGAAAGATCCTCACCTTCAATGAGTTAGTGTGGTAAAATTTACACATAATAGATTTGATTAGCACTCTCTACAGGTAAACTAAGAGACATCTGCAAATGTCTCTTAGTTTCCAAGACTGGAAAGTTTTAATAACACCTAAAACTCCAATCATGGAGAATTCTTACAGAAGCAGAAATGGAATATGATTGTGATGTAGTAAGCTGAATTTAACCAATTTTATGGCACACTCTTATAGAAAGACAGTATTAAAAGAAGAAAGATTGTTAGCCTAGAATAATCAAAAAGAAATGTCAAGAAATAGCATTTGTCACAATATCCCCAGTACTCCCTATGAGAAAAGAATGTTGTTGTTAGTTCTGCAAATACCCCAGACATTTTGGCAGGCAAATTCTGGAGTGGATAAATGCATCTGGCCTTTATAGTCCGATGACACTCATCATTAAGATTCTCTACATCAAGCAAGTTACTGATTATAATTTAGCTTCCCCTGTGTATTGTCTTAGGAGAGAAGAATGTCTAACTAACTGATGGGAACTTTTTTGTCTTCTAGGTACATCTTTTCCTCTTTATACATCGATAATTGGCTTGCTGGCTCTTAATGGTTTGATTAGTGAGAGTTGGTTCCTTTGAGCCAGATCACTTCTAGGTACAATGACAACACTGAGTGTTACAGTTAAAGTACTGGTGACACCAGGGTGATAGGGACACTCTTAGGTTTTCCTTAGGTGGCCAGGAGTCTTCCCTGATGTTAATGCTTTTTTATCTTGCTGGAACCGAGCAGGAGGTATTCTCAAGCTCAGTAACATGGTTTTCCAGTGAAGAGAATGGAGTCAGAGAGACTGGGCTGGCATAATGAGAAAAATCAGATCCCAAGGGAAGAGAGATTGTGAGCTAAAAACCACTGGATAAAATAAAAAAAGGAAAGGGTTTTTATTATACTTCATATTCTGTATACTTTTAATACTATATTTTTGTATTTTCCAGGTTACATACAATGAAAATGCATTGTAATCAGAATGTCAAAATAAAATCAAATTAGAGTGTTAAAATAAAAAGAAATAGAATATTGGTGCTTGATTCTTTCCAGTCCTTAATCATCCTAGCCTTGTATTTACACTGGCATCTCTTTGAATGATTCAGCTCTAATTAACATTTGCTGGGTGTCTCGCATGCGCAGGTACTGGGGCAGGCATTTTATACACTACATTTCCTGGAATTTGTTTAACCAAAAACAACGGATCAATTCAGTCAAAGCAGTATTTAGAAGGACTATTTTCCTTTAATCTTGAGACTATCTTTTAAATGACCTCAAAAGACTAATTAATTTAGTCCCCCTTTTCTCCCACCCCCCACAAAATGAAATACCAATTAATTACTTATTTTACCTTTTACAATGGAAAAACAGTAAAAGGTCTGACTGGATTCTTCTCTTTCCAGGGAAGTAACTGGTGCGGCACCTCAGTGGACTCAGTCCTGAAGAGGTTAAGCGCTTCCAAATGAGCGCAAGTCAGTATCTCAAGAGCCTCAGGCAGGGGACAGCTTTCTCTCCTTATCTAATAAAGAAGTAACAGTTTTCCTTTACCCTTCCTTTGCGTCAAATATATTAAATAAATGAGGGTTTTTTGTTTTTGTTTTTGAATGTCTCCTGTGAGTTTGGTCGGTGCTTCCTTCCCTGGTTTAGCTGACTTGACGCCTCCAGGTGTGTTGTCAGATTTTGTTTCACAGCAGAAAGTCTGCCTGCCTGGCCAGTTTGCCTGGAAATTCAACTTTGCTCCAGGGTTTTATGGTTTTCTCTGAGTCCAGCTGGTTTCTTCCTCTTATTCCTATTACTTCTACTTAGATATTGACTGCCTTCTTGGTGATTTTGTGAGTTTTATGTTTTAATTATTTTGCATCACAAAATCCTTTTAGGTCAGGCTATACTCATTGGAGAAGGAGACCAATAATAAGATATTATTAAATTACTTTAGTAAAATAATTGTCTTAATGAGTGTAGTCTCAATTATGGCAAGTTTAAAAAAACATAGCTTTTAAATTAACATCCTTTTGCAAAAATAAGACTATTGTGGGAGAAAAAAAGCAAGGAATAATTGTATCCTCGCTCTGAAACACGGTCAAATGTAAATAGCACTGGTATAATAGAAATACTATGGTTTGGGATTCACAGACCTGGGTTCCAGTTGTGGCTTTGCCCTAAGTGACATTAAGGCGGTCACTTCAACTCTCTGATTCTTAGTTTCCTCCTCTAAAAAGGTGGGATTAAACCAAATGATTTTTTAGGATACCTATGTATCCTTACAGTTCTAAGACTCTGTAAGGCACTGTGTTATATATCAGAGTCCTTTTAGATGTAAATCAAAATTATGCTGACGTTACAATTTTGTGTTCTAGAGACATCAGTGTGAGTTTAGTACCAAATAAACTGGTGTGGAGTGACATTATTTTCTTGAACTCACATACTATAGGTATGAATACATGCTGTAATGAGCTTCAAATAGCATCAATGAAACTGTTTGAGATGGCACACCCTCTTGTCTTTTGTTGAAAACAACCCTGTCCAATAGAAATTTAATGTGAGCCATATATCTAATTCAAATTTTCTGGTAGTCACACTAAGAAAGTAAAAAGAAAAGAAAGGGTGAGATTAATTTTGCTATTATATTTTATTTAACCTGATATCCAAAATATTGCTTCAATATGTAATCAGTATAAAAAATTTTAACGGATAGTTTACTGTTTTTAAAAAAAATATTTGAGTCTTCAGAAGTCTGGTGCATATTTTGTACTTACAGCATGCCTCAATTTGCATTAATCACATTTCAAGGGCTCAAAAGCCACATGTGGCTAGTGGCTACCATATTGGACAGTGTGAGTTTAGATAAATTACCTTATTCTTATCATACTCTAAAAACTGTGTGTTAAAAATATATGAAAAACACCCCTTCCTATCTTTGTATTCAACTGAATTTCAAATAATCTTTTGAGAAGGTTGTGTTTGCCCAGGTTTTGACAATGTGGCCGGTTTCACACAGCACAAACTGCAGGGACGTCAATCATCTTCTAGAGAATGTAGGTTGTGCAACGAATCCCAATTATCCAGCCTCCATGACAGGGGCTGCGATGGCTTTGCCTGGAATTTCAAAAATGGACTCAAGTTGAAAGTGACATATTTCATTGTGTTCATTGCCCAACTGATGCCTTATCTGAAAACCTATTTTTCTACTGCCTCTAGAATATTGACCACTGCAAACAGATTTACACAGGTTTCATATATATTGCAGACAGTTCTTTCTGCAAGCCCCAAAGCGGAAAAAGTGAGTCCAGATTTGTGCTTTATTATGAATATTTTGCACATTGGACTGAGTGCTTGAATAGAGATGTTACGCAGTAATTATCTTGTTGAACTAAAACATTTAAACACACTTCCTTACTTTCTTTTTAATTTTTGCCTGAAATTTATATTTTAAAATAGAAATATGAGATGTTTTGGGATGCTGCAAGTACTTGATCTTCACAGAGGTTTTGGAGTTTCAGGATGCTTAAACACTAAAGAGGGAAGCAGAGAAACTGTTAAGAGTTGTTGGGGGCCTTTAGATTTCTTCTAGTTCAGCAATTCCTAACTCTGGTGTTCTAACCAACTGTGCTGGAATCATCTATGGCTATGGCGCTGATCATAAATATAGATTTCTGGCTCCTTTCCTCACCTCCCAAAATCAGGTCTTGGGGTTTTATCAAAGCCTTCAGGTGATCATCTGTATAGTCAGCTTGGAGAACTCTCTCATCTTGTTTTCTACAGCTAAGAAAATAGAAAATGAAAGAATTTCAAGTGTTCACCTCGTATCCCAAGGCCAGAGATGTCAGACCTAGGATCAGAGCCCACTTTCACTTTCCCCTGAATGACCCTGTCTCCCTTAATAATATTATATACCGTATACTGAGCTAGTTAAAGGAGGGGGAAAAAGAACATATTTTAGACACATTTTCAACAATAAGGATTTTAAAATGGATTTACTTGAATTAAAATTAACCAAACAGATTCTTTTTGATCCAGTTATTCTATTTAATCAAGCTTTTACAATCAAACTTTGCAATAGCATTCTTCAGAGAGCCTTGCACGTACAGTTCCGCTAAGCCCTTCTCTCGTTCTCAAGGTATATGAGGTTTAAGATAGTGCAAGAAGATGCCCATATATTTTTCTGTGGCAGCTGGAACCATTTAGGGAGGTTTATGTAAATTTTATGCAAACCAAACACATTTTATGCCCCCCAAACTCATAACTATTTTATTCATCAAAAGTTGGCCTTCAGCGAGCTTCTACTGAGGACTGATGATCTGTGTAGCCTCCTTCTGCTCAGATTCTTGTGACATTTATCATCATCCTACGTGGATACTGAAAGACTTGCAGTACGTGAATATAGGGATGAAATAAGATGGTGATTTTCCTCCAACCCAGGCTGAACTTTCTACCACAGACGTTTGGCAGCTCAGTCCTGGGAGCTCCTTTTCTAGTTCCCCGGTACAACTCATCTTGATTCATTTATGCCACAAAGCAACAGTTGTTTAGATGATGATTTCACCAAGTAAAGAGACACACCCTAATATGTATGGAAAGTATTACTAAATCTTATTAGATTTAAGAATGACTGTTTGCCAATGGCTATATAGAGAAAGAATAAGTTCCTGACAGTGCAGCTCGAGAGAACTTTTTAAGGGGTGACGAAATCATTAATTTTCAGAGCTTTATAGGTAGCTGGCAAAGGTTTTTCTATACCATTGTGGCTTACTGCCTTGAAATTACTTTCTTTTCTTAAATTAAACTGTCTGAGTTAAAATGACACAATAATAGTGAGATAAAATTAGCTTCTTTGTTTAACCTTAAAGCATCTTAACTAACTTAAATACTTAATACCTTGAGTGTATAACTGCTGCAATGTACCCTATAAAAAGAGATTGGCATTAGGAACGTTTCTAGATCCCCATATTAGTTTTATTGACAGATAACATTTAAAAAATTGAATCATGTATACAAAAAGTAGAAAGAGACTTCTAGCCTGAAGACGGAATTCCCCATTTAATTCTTCAGAACCTAGTTTTCCCACCTGTGGTGGAGAGGGCTCCAAGTTTGGAGCCAAAGCTTCCCCGTTCAGGTGATGGTCCTGTTGCTTTACCTATGTGACCCTAGACCTGTAACCAAACTTCTCTGGGCCTCAGTTTCCATATCTGTAGAATGGGTATATTAATATTAATGTCATCTTCTTCAAGTGGTGTTGTAAAAATAAGACAATAAATGTGAGTGACAACAAGAGAAACTTTATTCCCCAGGATTCTAGAGTTTGTCTCATGGTGAGGAAAGAGGTCCCAGTCAGTGGTTCTACTGTAGAATCTACACTTCCTACAGTGTCTGCAGGGGAGGGTCCTGGATTAGGACGATCTCGTCTGAGGAGAAGGAGGGAAGGATGGCGAAGAATGCCAGGGCAGGGAGAACGGGGAAAGAAGTGTCGCAGGCCCTATCTGGTGCTTTTGCCACAGCATCTTTGACACAGACATCTTCGCTGTGAGCATTTTTGCCGCAAACGTTTTTACGGCATAACTAATTGGCCCGAAGGCAATTTTGCTCTAAAAGATAAAATCACAAAAAATAAGAGGGACATTAATTAAAAAACATATGATGAAACATGAAAAACGAATAACAAAATTAAAAAGACTTTATGGCGAAATACAAAATATTTGAAGACATTTAAGATGTGTGTATGAAGATTCAGGCAATACCGCGCAAAGAACCGATTTTATTTTGTGTGTGTGGATTGTACCTAACTAAGTGCTTGTCTTCATTCTGTGGGAAATGTGGATTCAGCTCTGTGCTGTCAAACAAGAAGCCTTTGGCTCTCCGTTTCTTCTCCACTGTAAGGTGTTTCAAAAGAAGAAACCAAGTCTTGGCGCAAATCCTCATCATCTGTCAGCTTGAGAAAGTCATCAATAAAACTGGAAGAAATGCCAGCTCTTTTAAGATCCCACTACCACGTCTACGCCTCACTGTATTGATCATTACGTGAGCTGGCTAGGATTTATATCATAGAAAAATGGGAGTAACGGCAAGAACTTCATCAATGGAGAAAGGAAAACAAACTGATGAAAGGAAGAAAGAAAGAAAACTGTCAACAGTTTTTTTTTACCTGTAATGGCAAAATTCCCTTATGGCCAATTAGTTATGTGGCTAAAATGTTTGCGGCTAAAATGTTTGCAGCAAAAATGCTTGTGGCAAAGATGTCTGTGGTGAAACTACCCACAACTGTCATGGGCTCCATGAGCATAGCAATCCTGGGAAAGAGAGGTTTGGAGAGAAGTTTTTTTTTTTTTTTTTTTTTTAAAGATTTTGTTTTTTTCCTTTTCTCCCCAAAGCCCCCCAGTACATAGTTGTATATTCTTCGTTGTGGGTCCTTCTAGTTGTGGCATGTGGGATGCCGCCTCAGCGTGGTTTGATGAGCAGTGCCATGTCTGCGCCCAGGATTCGAACCAACGAAACACTGAGCCGCCTGCAGTGGAGCGCGAGAACTCAACCACTTGGCCACGGGGCCAGCCCCTGGAGAGAAGTTTTTATGTAAAATGGATGGATGAATGGACGGATGGATGGGTGGATGGATGGACTAGGTAAGCCCCTGCATCCCTTTTTAAGAAAACCATCACTCAAGATCTACTTTGCAGTGGCTATGTCAGGGGCAGAGGAGACGTCAGGGTCGTCCACAATTCTTTCAGTTTAACGTGTACATTTTTTTGTCAGTTTTACACTTTGGTACAAATGCCTAGTATTTCTATTTTTTTTAGATCTTTAGAAAATAATAAAAATTGCGTTTTGTCATATGTTTATTAAAGATAATCATTTATAGTTTATAAAAAAATATTGCCCTGATATACACAAAAATTTCCTGATAATGGTGATTTAAAACAGCTACTCCCACCCACTCCTTGTGTCCACACCAATATTCAATGTAAATTGGCTTAGTCTTGAAGGGTAATCCAATAAGACTGAAGATAAGCACTTCAGGTTCTGGATAAGGTAATAAAATACCCGTAAGCCTTCTGGATCCTTGGATTGATTGATATCAATAAGCGAACCAATTGTGCGGTTTTTTTGAGGAAGATTAACCCTGAGCTAACATTTGCCACCAATCCTCCTCTTTTTACTGAGGAAGACTGGCCCTGAGCTAGCAACCATGCCCATCTTCCTCTACTTTATATATAGGATGCCTGCCACAGCATGGCTTGCCAAGTAGTGTGTAGGTCCGCACTCGGGATCCCAACCAGCGCACCCTGGGCCGCCAAGGTGGAACGTGCAAACTTAACTACTACACCACTGGGCCAGCCCCAAGGGAACCAATTTTTGATGTTGTGAAAGAAATGTGTTAATCTCCAATGACAATTTCTAGCTCCTGCCAGCCCACTCTGTCAGGAGGAGGCCCCAGAGCATCATCTTCTTTGGTAATTTCACTGTCATCAATTATTCTCTTCAGTTCCTCCATCACACTTTTATGTACATAAGCCTCTTTTCATGACATCATTTTTGTAATTGCTGTTGTTGGCATGTCTCAGTTTCCATCAGGTTGGAACTCAAACTCCAGGAACTCATGGCTGAACTTGCCCTTGTGACCCACGTAGTAATGCAGATAAAAGTCACTCTCCATGGCTTGCAAATAGTAACCAGATTAAACCTATGTTTCTTAAATATGGCCAGTGGTGGGTGACCATTGTGGGTGAGCTGGCCACTTCAGGAGGAGCCCCATTCCACTCCTGGAAGGCTTTGTCCTCTTTAAGTATTGAAATCTTTTGATCGCGGTGACTGCCACCGTGGATATTGATTCTGTCTTCAGAGTCACAGAACACTCTTCTTCCCTTTGACATATGGCAGCACTTCTCGAAACAACACGCTCGATGCCTAGGTAAGAGTGGAGAGCAATATTCTATGTGTCAGGCTGTGATTGTCAGCATTTAAAGCCTCCATAAAACATTACAGATCATGTTGAACTGGTAGTATTGAGAGTTAATTCCTTCTTTATTTTTCTGATATTCTCCAACTTACAAACCTACAAGCCATGCATTAGTAAAGTTTTTGCAGCTGAGAGTACAACTCAAAATTTACAAGATGTCAAAGTCTCACTATAGGAGCAAACAGGCCCACAAAAAGCCTATTTTATCTATGATGTTCACGAAGTAGAGCACTACGTTATTTTGTAATGTGGTGGCTCTCTATACTATGATGTTTTCACAGAAAAATGGAGTTGTCATCAAAAACCTATCTTCCACTTTTGTAGTGATGTGAAGGTTGAATCTTTCATCCCAGACATTTATCATTCGTTCATTTAACATTTATCCACTTTCTTTATTTATACAGTCATTCATTCATCAAACGTTCACTTAGTTTTTACTATGTACTAGGCATTTGGCTAGGTGCTAGTGCTAGAGATACAGAGTTGAATGAGAATGCCTTTGGCCTAAAATAGCCTGGTCATCAAGGGTTTAAAATAAGAGGTCAGGAGGAGGTGTCAGGAATGGGGATGAGAAAAAGAGTGTGACAAGAGGTCGGTAACCAGTGGTCAAAAGAAGGAAAAGTGGAATTTGAAGTGGAAATACTGGGGTGATGTGAAAATGTCTGTATGGAGATGTGACCCACCAAAGTTGTATAACTGTGGCCTTGGAAGGACCATGTTGCTCTAAATTCTTTATCTACCATAAGAAAAAGCTGAGATCCTGGAAGGACATAGGGCAAGGCAAGGTCTCTTCGGGGTTGGATCTCCTCAAGCCCTTCCCAATGTTTCACTGTAATTCCAGATGACCTCATCTTGTTAGAGGAAGGCATCAGACAATGGGGACCACTTGTTCCCTGCAGGATTTTGTGCTTTTTTTTGTATTTTGGTGCCACTTGTAGCATGCTTTCTATTTCCTATTATAGACATATAATCTCATAGAATAATAATTTATCCTTTCAACTGCTCATTAGCCGTGCCAAGTTCTCTCCATTTAAAGCTTTTGTTTTTTTTTTTTTAACTCCTATTCTAACAACCCTTTGTGGAAAGCATTTTAATTTTCCAGACTAGTTGTTCACTAAATCAGTATGTCAAGAGTTTAAGTGCTCTAAATGGTACCCTCTTAATTTTTAAAAACTAAGGTGGCTTACAGAATTTTCTGATTTAGTTCTCATGAAAGATCAAGGAAAAATGCTAGTGAAAATTCTACACCTAAATTCAATGACAGACATTTAGTTGTTTATTTTTCACCAAATTCCTTAAGTTTATAGAGTTTCCTAACAAAGAATGGTAAAATCTACATTACCATGCAACCAAAAATTTAACAGAAGAGGTTAAATAAAACTACCTTGCTAATCTAATCTGTATTATATCCATTTGAGTATCATATTGGGCAAATCTTTTTTTAAAAAGTCCCCACTTTTTTTTTTCTTTAGAGAAAATATTGGCCTCAGAGTATGCAGTAAGTTACTGCACCAAAGAAAATTTCAATCTTTTGATTCTTGGCCTAATTTTCTCCCTACATTGCCAATATGGACATAGGGGTTCCGTGCACATATTGAAGCAGAACTTAATAAGAAGGAAAAAAGGAAAAATAAGAAGGGAACAAGAAAAAAATAAAAAGCAATGCAGTAATCTCTCCTTTGATCAGCTCTGGATATAAATAAGGGTGTGGTTAAAAAGTGAGTCATTATTCCATTGCCTACTCCTTTTGTGGCAAAGACAATGACGCTATGGAATAGATGCTGTTAAAGAGGCATTTATATAACTATTAGCCTCTGAAACAATAGACAGGCAGCAGTGTATTGTTCTGGAAAACGTTCAAAGAGGAGGAGTCATTTTGTCCTCTTTAAAATTTAATATCTTTTTTTTCTGTATCATTTGGAGAAGGTTCCTTTTTCTCTTTTCTTAAGCAAAATAAGTGTTCTGCACCAGTAGGTAGTGAGTGAATTCTTCTTGCCAGCAGGAAGAAAAGCAATTTTTGAATGCCAAATATAGCTCTTTTGTGTGAAAATATCACATAGCCAAAGACATTTTAAAGAAGAAAGGAAAGATACAAGTTCTGAATTAATATTTTTAAAATGTAAAAGGCAGGAGAACGTTAGCAATAGAGCAGGAAGAAACAAGTCGTCATATCTACAGTCATGGCAGCCCCGAAGTTTGAATGTTTATCCTTTTTGCAATGCTCCTGGCTTCTTGGGTGGTCTCAGAATGATGATTTATCATCTGAGGCCGTGTCTATAGGAGGTAGGTGTTTCTAATCATCTTGTTTAGTTCAAGACATTTCTTGCCTTCCTTGACCTTCGCTATTTGTTTCTATGCAACATTGCCAACTAAGCAAAGCGTGAGCCACCTTGGATATAGAAGATGGCTCTAGTGTTGGGGACAGACATAGAATAATCTCATGCTTGTCTTTGTCTTTAAATTTTTAAATCACTCTGACACCTTTGCAAGCCATACACTCTATAGAGTCTCTACTCATTATTTACATGTGGGAGATCATCAGCCAGTTACACAGAGTTTTGATAGGCATGATGGGCATCTATGTCTTTTACCCACCCGGTATCCTTTCCTGCTTCATTTGGTGATTACATATGCTTTTTCCTTGAAGAACTAATCATCCTTGTCCCATGTGATCTTGGTGTCACCATCAGTCCAGTGGTCTTGCCTTTCTCCCCATTAGTGAGTAGACATGTGACCCAAGCTTGAACAGTGAGGCACTTCTCATGAATTTGAATCTTGAATGGAATGACATAAAGATGGAACATGGTCACTGAGTCATTTTGTAAGTGATACCCTAAAAAGAGTCCCCATTGATTCATTAATCCTCTTACCTGGACCATATGAGTTGTCCTGATTTCTTCTTCCCTAGGCCAGCCTAACCAGCTTCTTTGATTCCATTAGATAACTTACATGGTTGCAACAGATTTGATTTTCAAAACCAGGATGTTTGCAATCAAAAAATCTGAACTACAACAAGCAGAAATATTTCCTCAATATGACTCATATGTTAGAAAAATACCTAGGTGAAAAGCTTGTGGGGAGACAGTGTTCATATTTTCAGAAACTCATGCATTGGCTTATATCTTCCCATTACATTTGTCTCAGTTTTATTCATTTGTTCATTTATTCAGTTATATACTCTTCTATCCACTCATTTGTTGACTATCTGCCATTGTCTAGGCACTAAGGATATTCCCTTCAGATATCTGCATGGCACACTCCCTCATCTCTTTTAAGACTGAACAAATATCACCTTTGCAATGAGACCGATAGCCTCCTTCCCCAGTCTACAGTCCCAATCCCCTGATTTTTTATAGCACTTTTCACCTTCTCAGATACCATATTATTTACTAGAGGTTTTGATTGTTGTCAATCCTCCTGAAGTAGAGAATCAACTCCAAGAAAATAGGAACTTTTGTCTGTTTTGTTCATTTTTGTATTCCCAGCACTCAGAATAGTACCTGGCATTTGTTGAATAGACGAATGCATTGAAGTTTCTTTAAAAGTACATACATACATTATTAAAGGAGCTTATTGTGGCTTTGTAATGTATCAACTTGGCTATGCTGAACTACAGTCCTTAAAGTTCCCTTTCCTACAGGTTTTTGATGAGGATGGGCCACAAGATAGACTCTTGTAGGAGATTTGGAGGGTGGAAGTGAGGCAGCAGCTGTTTCGTAGCTAGGACCCGTGTGGCTTAGCTGCTGGCTCACCTCACTGGTGTGAAGCAGCAGCAGGTCCGCAGCCGCCTCATCGTCTTACAGATCTTCCTTTAGCTTTGTGACGCTTGGGCCAGGTGCGTGTTTTAGCTTCATGACCAAGGGCCCCGGCTTCTTCAGGACACTCCCACCACCAAGGTCAGAGGCAATAAGAACACACAAGTTTTATAGCTTTATGGGCTCAAAATCATGCCTGTGAATTCCAGCTTGTCTTTGATTTGATCCACTTTATGTCAGTCTCTGCTGTCCAATTGCTTGCCTTGGACTTCAACCTTCAGTGTCAAACTGAAGACAACAGTCTTATGGAGGCTGATTAACCATCTCCCAGAATTGTATAGGGTCAAGTTCTATTTTCTTAAAAAATCTATCTTTCTACCTACCTACCTACCTATCTATCATCTATCTATCTATCCTAATGTCTGAATGTTGAATGAACTCTAATCCCTGACTGATCCAAATGCTGGTACCTAGAAATGGGGTGCTGCCATAACAAAAGCTAAAATGTGAGAGTGATTTTCAAACCAGGCCATGTGTAGAAGTTGGAAATGCTGTAAGAATATTGAGGAAGTCTTAGCGAAAGCTTTAAGTGCCTTGAATGTAATTCTCATAATGTTCATAGAATTTCTAATTGTGTGGTGCCTGGCAGTGAGGGCTTAAAGGAATGGGAGAAAAGTCTTATTGGAAACTGGAGTAAAGGGAAGAAATTTAACAGCACTCTTGCCTGCAATAATGTGAAAAGTAGAAAATGTGCCTAATGAACTGGAGATCTAGCTAAGGAGATTTCCAAGCAAAGTGTTTAGGTTCCACCTGGTTTCTTCTTGCTGCTTGAAGTAAAATGTAAGATGAGAGCGAAACTCAGGGAAGGACTGTTAAACAAAAATAAATCAGAATATGATGTTTTGAAAGCTCTCAGACTCTTCAGATGGTCCAGGATGCTAAAAAAAAAAAAAAAAAAAAAGGCTCTGTGCAAAGATCAAATCCAGAGCAATGCCAGGAAAACATTATGTGAAGAAAGATAAAGTCCAGGGTGTGGCCATAGAATTTTTTTATTAAGATCTCAAAAAGATCTAAGGTGGTGCCTCAGAGAACCTTCAGTCAGACTAAAGGCCCTTGAAAGAGATTAAGAGCACATCTGCCACAGAGGGTCTCTCAGTCAAATAATAGAGCTTGTAGGAAGTTTCAAGGCATTGTCCCTCAGTCATCTCAGCAGAAGCCCAAGGTAGACAGCAGTTTATCCAGAAGAAGATTGTGGGTGTGGCTTTTGTGTATTGGGTTTGACCCCAGGAAGTTTCATATGGGACTCACAAAGTTCTCAAAAGAGATACATGCAGAAACATCACCAACTAGGACTGAGGGGGATTGAGACAGTATAGAATAAGCAGAGATTGGCCTTCGAATGTCCAGAATTTTAACACTTGCTACCTTTTGTGAAAATGGAAAGATAACTCAGAGAGGAGCCAGGAGCCCAGAGGGCAGAGTTGGGAGACATGAAGAATTATTTCTGATATGAGGCCTAAGTAAGGCCCTTCCAACATTTACCTACCTGAATTTCAGAGTTGTGGTGGACCAGTAATCCCCCTGTGTCTCCCACCCCCAACCTTGAACATAGCTATCTATAATGAGTATTCTATGCCTGTCCTGCCATTGTATGTTGGATGTGTGTGGGGGAGGGGGGGGAGATAATTTGTCTGTTTCATTTCACAGGTTTACAAGGAACTGTTTTGAGGAGTTGTGCTTGAGGAATTACACATGAGGAACCTCTTCCATCCTTGAACGTGATTTAGATGATGAGATTCTGGGCTTTGAGCTGATATTGTAGTATGACGAGAATTTTGAGGTCTTTGGGGGCAACAAGTATATTTTGCATTTGAGAGGAATGTGAATCATTGGGGGCCAGAAGATGGATTACAGGTAGTCTCCAAGGTGGCCCCCCAGTGATCCTTGCCTCCCAGTATTCACACTTTTGTATAATCTCTTCCTGTAAGGTGCGGTCTGAGCTTATTGACTCATTCTAACAAGCAGAATACAGCAGAAGTGATAGGATGTCCATTCAGAGATGAGATTATAAAAGACTGTTGTTTCCATCTGGGAGGTGCTCTCACTCTCTTTGAATGGCCCACTCTGGGAGAAGCCAGCTGCCATGTCGTGAGACAGCCCTGTGGTGAGTTCCATGGGAGTGAACTTGAACGTGGACCTTCTGAGGCCTGCCAACAGCCGTGTGACTAAGCTTGGATGCAGATCCTCCCCAGTCAATCATTGAGATGACCACAGCCCCAGCCAGAACCTTGATGGTAGCTCATAAGACAATCCGAGCTAAAATTAGCCAGATAGCTGCCCCTGGATTCCTGACCTACAAAACTGTTGGATTACAAAGTTTGGTAATTTTCAGCTCCTAAATGTCAAGATAATTTGTTATGCAGAAATGGATAAAAACTACGTTTATATTCTAGAGGATAGACTATACTGGATGACATTGTAAATGAGTCCTTTCATCACCAACTGAAGACTGCCAACCCCAAGTTTGGTCCTATCTTTCCACTGTCTTGCTAGATCTTTTGATTAATTAATTATTATAAAAGGACATTAGGGCATGATTTTCGCTTGTGTCCTTGAAATTCTCCCAGGTTAGAATGCTCAAAGAAAAGATGGTTGGATTAATATATAACAATATATAGCCTTTGTGATATGCTTCATCTGTACTAGGAATTGTGAAAATTGCTTTTTATGTGATAATTTTAGATAATTTTCCTGCCAACCCTTTTAAGTATGTATCACTATTATCCCTACTTTAAAGAGACTTGCTCAATATCACACATTGGTAAGAGGTGGATCTGAAATTTGAGCCCAGGGCTGTCTGTCTCCAAGGCCTAAGCTCTCAATCACTGTGGGTGGAGAAGATCTGTGCCTCTTTGCATGAACAAGCTAATAAACTGTAACGAGTAGGTTCCCTTCGTGGCCCAATACTTAGGAAACAGAACCAGAGCAAGCCCTTTCCATGTCTTCATGGGTGCAACTTGAGAGGCGTTTTGAATCCAGAGAGGTCCCTTTGCCAAATCTGAGCCCATGATGTTTGTGAAGAGAGGGGAGAATGCCAAAGCTGAAATAAATGCTGTCACCACGTTACAGTGTCTGCCCCTAAGAAAACTTTGGCTGGTCTTAAACGTTGTTCAGAATGTGGGAGAGGTTTGAACTGTCGGGTTCTATTGATTTTCAAGAGCAGGAGTACCTGATCCTGAGGGATCAATCTCAAAGTTTACAGAGACATTTGGTTGAATAGAACAAAAATTCCCAGCCTATGCCTGTAACCAAGACTGCCACTTTGGTTTCTCATTGAGGGGAAAGGGAGCTTGCATGGATGGTAAACTTCATGCGTCAGAGAATTTACTAGAGGACTTATGCATATAGGGTCATTCTGACAAATGCCATTGACTCATTTGTGGGTTTTTATGTGAGGAAGACTGACCCTGAACTAACATCCATTGCCAGTCCTCCTCTTTCTGCTTGCGGAAGAGTGTTGCTGAGTCAACATCTGTGCCAATCTTCCTCCATTTTGTATGTGGGATGCTGCCACAGCATAGCTTGATGAGCAGTATGTAGGTCTGCACCCAGGATCTGAATCTGTCAACCCCGGGCCCCCAAAGCAGAGTGCGTGAACTCAACCACTACACCACTGGGTCAGCCTCCATTTGTTCATTATTTTTAAAAAACACTTGAAATATAAAATACAATAGACTCATTGATATTAACAAGTGTGTTTGTTCTATTTGAGAAAGCAGATCTTTTTAAGGCATTTAAAAGCATTAGTACTAAGGCACTAGCACGATTTTTAAAAATGGAATTTTGGTCAAGATTCTTAAATATTAACTTTTATTTGTTTTTTCCTCTTACTAATTTTCCTACAGACTTAATTTCTCCAAAATTGAATTCCTTATATCTCTCACTTCTAAGTTTCAGCATAATTTTTAAAAACAAGTGTTGGAAAACACACTCTATTTTTTTTGGTCAACTTTCTCATACTCAGACTATGTACGCACTCAGTTAGAGGGTGATGGCCAGGCCAAAGTTTATCTTATCACACCAGAGTTTTTAGGTCACTTCCAGTTTTCTTATTTTTTTCTTTTCAAACTTTCACTTGAAAGGAAAATTAATTGGGAAACACCAGCAAAGCTTTTTTCCTTCCTCTTTCGGCGACTCAACTGCCAACTGCCAATTCGTTCTGAATTCTTTATCTGATGTGCGCAAGCTACAGGGAAATTGTGGCTGTTCCTGGAGTTGGCAATAGTTAAATGGAATTATAGAGAGTGACTCAAACCAACAAGTATTTTGTAGAGTCTTTTGATTACACACAGCTTTCTCTGAGACATAAAAACCTCTTGAAGGATTAGCTTGCTAGAGAGAATTAGCATTTTGGAAGATTTGTGTCACATTTCAATGATAAAATTATTCAGAAAAAATGCTCTCTGTAAATAATCTCTAAATTCTCACAAATGTCGGAGCTCTTGGGGGCCAGAATCAGGGTGCAATTTGCATTGATTAAATACACACACATGCATTTCATAACCCAAAGGTCTCTCAGTCATGTTATGATCCTCTCTGGAAAGTTTCATCAGAATAACTGTACCGTCTTTTCAAAAAAGCTTGTGACACAGACCATAAAAACCCTGTTGTAGAAACCTTATTTTAACCACTGGTGTGTTGCAGCTATATTAAGGTAGCAGCTGAATTAACTTGGTTAAAATTCGAGTATGTTATATGTATCTTTTCCTCAAGGACTAGCATGAAATAAAAAATTTACATTTTTTTTTACTTAACACCTTAAGGGAACTAAATCATATATTATAAATAACTTACCCTATGATAATTCTTCTGATAGATTTAAATACTCTTTATCTTCAAAATGGGATTTTGCACATTGCTATTATCTGAGTTAGTTACATCAACAAGTTCCTCGAGGTTAATTATTTTTGCCAGAATATCTGATCTGCTGGTTGAAATTTCTTGTTGTGTTGTGAAATTCTATCTCATTAGAATTTCAAGACAACAAAGTATTAATGTTGGAAAGGAACTTAGAGAAACTCCTGTGCAACTGGTTAATTTCTAATCAGAAACACTCCAGAGAGGTTGAGTAACTTTTCACATTTGACTGATGACAGACCCCTGCAATCAAGGAATAAAATGTGACTCAAATGCTATCTTCTCTGTGAAGATGGAGTCCACATCAAACAAAAAAATCTGACTTTAGAAACTCTGCAAATTAACCCAATAGCTGTGAATAAGGCCAAATGACCTGGGCTCGCATCAAACATTTCATAGGGGAGAGGTGGCAGAGTGAATCTGTGCTATTCCTTCTTATTTATTCAGATTGGGCCATGCTCGCACATTCCAGCTTTCTCATCCCAATATAAACTGGGGTGAGAAGTTTTGGAGAGGTTAGCTCTGAGTACAAAATGCTCTATGACAGGAAAAATTCAGAGAATGTGCTGTGTGAATATGAGAGCATGTTTGTATGGCAGGTGTGAGAGTGGGCAAGATGGAAAGGTAGGTGGAGGGGAGAAGGGAGCTGGGATATTCCTGGAAATAATTTGCTCCCATGTCACCCTAGTAAAAGGCAGCTCCTTTAAATCAGGCAGGCATAATGAATGATGTGATACCCGGTAGCCCGCACAGTTATAAATACATACCCTTTCATCCTAGAGATGGCCCATTACCACACACTAAAACAGTCTGTCACAGTGGTGCTCTGGGGCCATTCATTTTTCATGACCCTCTTGGCAACGTGACTGGGATTTCCTGAAGCCACACTCAGGTCCCTGCCCAGTGAGTGCCCCACATTAATGCCCTTTGATTCCTTTCTTCTAAAGGTTATCATGTCTTGGTTTTATGTGTGTATGTGTGTACTCTCCCCAAAGACAAACAAAGAAACAAACAAACCGTGCAAACTGAGCTCGACTTTGCTGGAAACAGCTGATTCACAGAGTGAAGATTGGCTAGAACTTGATCTGATGATATCAGGAACGTTCAGAGTTTATAGTTTAATGCGTAGGAGGTAAGAAATTTTACAAAGCAGTTTAAAAATCACCCCACCATTCTCCAGGCTCAGGTTTCACATCATGAAAGGCAAACTTTAACATAGCAATTGCAGTGCCTTCTGATTTGCTGGTTGCTTCAAATAACAGTTGTCCCTTTGATAATATTGACACCTATCTCCTTTCACAATCTAGTGCTTCTCTTGCACTTTGTAACATATCCCATCTGTTTTTTAGGGCCACTGTCATAAGGAGGCCTGGAAGAGTGAAGAAAGGTCTGATTGATCATAAGGTCCTATCGAATGTCAAAGCTGGCCCTGGCTGACCTCCCATCTATTCAGAGCCGCTTTGATTTAATCTCCAAACTGGCTGCTTCTCCAGGCTGTGACTTCTATCTGCAACCCATGTGTCAGCATTGAGATACGACCTGCTTCACGCTCCATTCATCTCATTTGAAGGACGGAAATTAAACTGGAGGGTCGAAGAGGGGAACTGCTCAAAATACACACACATTAACTGAAGCCTTTTGTGTGGGTGCATTATAGGAGTCTGAACAACCATTAAAAATGATATGAAAATGAAATTGATCTCTACTCCACTGAAACGGCTTAGAACTTTGCCTCCCTCCACCTCCCCCTTCATCTAGTCTTCTTTCTTCCCTCCCCGGTTTGTAGTAATCATATGCACCTCATCTCATTATGGTTCAAAGTAAAAGGAGAGAAAAATTTACAGTTTTTCAGTTTCTTTTAAAGGTGTCCTTTAGAAAATTCACTTATTGCCTGCATTTGCACAGATAATATTTGAAAAAAATGGAGATACAAAAAGCTGGTGACCAGACTAACAGAAATGTTGACTGCTTTCTTTAGCATTATGGATTCATTGAAGTTTCACCCTTCAAGGTTTTTAAAAAAAATGCAATTAAAACTCAAACTTTGGGAATAGTCCTATAACCATCAGGACACCTTGCTACAGTATAAATCTATATATCCTCGGTTCCATTTTTTATTTCTAAACTCCCCTTTGTTCTTTTCATTGGCCCTTTTACACTATTAATTAAGGTTAGTAACTAAGTGAAAGCTTGATTACTTATAGATTTGTTTGTTATAATAAGCAGAAAAGCAAACTCTATTTCATTTACTTAGAGGGGTCCCCTAACTATAAGAATAAGATCATTATATTTTAAGCGTGTTGGGAAGGTTAACTATATTTATTTCTGTGTTTATTCATTTGCTCATCCATTCATGCATTTGTTATTTGAGCTCTGTACTACGATGATATCCAGGTAAGAACATTTTTTTTATTTTTTATTTAAAAAGTATATTATATACTTCCTGTTATAATGGATGTACATATTCAATATCGAAAAACCAATCAGCAAAGACAGGTGAGGAGAGAGAATGAGAGAGAGATACAGAGACAGAGACAGGGAGAGAGACAGAGAGAGACAAAATAGCAAACACCAAAAATACTATTGACCAGAATAACCAACATTAATACTTCAGTCTTTATCTTTCCTAGCGGTTTTTTTGGTATATGCACACTTTTTATTCCTCTTATATGAAGTTATACTGTTCCTGCTTGGGATAAAACTATATTTTCAGTTATTCTAATCATCCTCTTTTATGTCTATATAATATCACTTTGTATGGAAGTGATTGTCTTATTTTGTTAATATTGCATCGATGACCATTCAGATCTTCTAAATTTTTCACTACTATAAATGTTATCATGTAAAAACATTTTTATGCCTCCATGATTTCTTCCAAAATTCTCTAATTTTGGAAAAAGGATGTGCCCAATTTAATATTTGTAGTCAAAAGTATTTTCTGCTGTGGTTTTTCATTTAAATACTCATTTGGAAAAAAGTTTCCTTCCTAAATAATCATTTGTGTTTTCTTTCACACATAGTGTTTATTTGTTTTATATTTAATATATATGCAAGGGAATACGTACTACAGTGAATATCAATGCCATTTCTACATAAACCACTTCACAGGACTTATGGGAAAGCTTTCAAACTCTGGTTATATAGCGAGAAAGGTTTTGAGCATCTGAGGCATTCAAAGAATGCCACTTAGGCATTTAGTTTTGCAAGTAGGGAAGCAGGAAAAGACAAGAAGATTGGATCCTTTTTGTAATGCTTCTCACTAAAATTTGTTTTCCAGCATATCCTTATGTAAATATCTTGTTACTCAAGGCAGAACGTGTTGAAAAAGATGCATTTTGAAAGTTAATCCATTGCCAAGTGGAAGTGGGTTCATTGCATTCATGTAGTACTTTGCAACAGAAATTTTTGCAATGATGGAAATATTCCATATCTCTGTTGTTCACTATAGTGGCCACTGTAATGTGGCTGTTGAACATGTAAAATGTGTCTAGTGTGACTGTGGAACTGAATAATTAATTTATGTAATTTAAATTTAAATCAATTAGCCACTTGTGGCCAGTGGCTATCTTATTGAACAACACAGCCTTAATAGTTTTATCATCATCTGAACCATTGTAATAGTTTATGAAGTATTCTAGCTGTTTACACAACTACTCAAGCTCATTTCATTGAAGAATAAGTACTAGATGGTAAAGAACTTCCCATACTGAAATACAATAAGAAGAAGAAAGATAACGAAAACTACTTGTGCATTCAGAGACATTTTTCACAGATTCTTTCAGAGAAGAGGATGGAAAATTTCAATAAGGCAAAGGTGATGAAAGTGTTTTCATGGAACCCTTGGGTAAGGTGGATTAGTAAAGAATAAGATGATCTGGATTCTAAGATCTGGCTTTGACATTAACCACCTATTGACCTGGAGTAAGTGCCTTTTAGTGGTCTTAGTTACTTGATATTCATGAAAAGGGGGTTGGAATAAATGATTTTCTTTGTGCTTACTGTGGATAAATTATATGAATCTGTTCTCTTCTATATTCAGAGTCAAATGCTACTTTTTTCTTCACATCTCAATAATGTGTGTAAGCACCCAGTGCCACATATCTTGTAAATACGTGTTTGTTGACTGAGTGGATGCACTTAGTTGTCCGCCTGGATCAACAGCAACTTTCACCATCCATTCTTTTAGCTTCTGTTTTCTACACCCAGACTTGAGCAAAGTTTTTAAACATGGATGGTTTTGATGCAGGAGAAATCTTTTGCTACAGAGTAGTAGAGGATTGATTAATGGGCACAACTCTCCGCTCTCGAGTTGCTAAAAGGTTCTACTTCCAGAGATGGTTAAGGAAGTGAGATCCCAGAACTTGGCTGACCTTCCTAAAGGGAACCCCTCGGGATGATCCCAAAGGCCTGCATCAGGTGCACTGAGGTGATGAAGGGAAGGCAGGAGACTGACCAGAATGTAAGGAAGGCTTAACTTCCTGGGACACATCACACATGACTCTTCTGAATAGGAGTTTCCATACTTCAGTAATATTAGCTGCCTTGATCACTCAAGTCCAGAATAATTAAACTTTCCTTCTTTTATATTCTGACACATTATATATTTTGCTTTTTAGATATTTAATATTGCCCTCTTTGGTATATAGTTAACTTTTAATGTGGTGATGTCTTTTTAATTAATGAAATTGAACTTCAATAAGGACAGAGGCATCACCATTATTCCTGGCACAGAGTTCTCTGTATCTCACAAACCCCAGCCTAGTGTAATCTATTCTCCCCCAAAGATCAAACATATGGCAAAATACTGTCCACACTGGAAAACGTTGTAGAGACATTAGTTGTTATTATGGTAAGAATTGACAATGGAGGTAATTTAATAATTACCCTTATTTCTGGCACATACTCTCTCCTCCAAGAACTTAGCAACTGGCTGACATTTTCTGGGCTCACTAGTGATGTCCCGAAATCTTCCCAGAATGTCTAGGACTTCAAACCTACAAGAATATCTAAGGAAAATTCATTACATACACTCTTTACTGAGAAGAGATAACGTTAAAAATTAATGACCATTTAAGTCCTCTGAGATGTGAATAATTTAGGGCAGGGTAGGAGGGCTGTCACTATCTTTTTCAAGGGCAACTCACAACAACACTTTGAGTGATGAATCCCTGAGGCTTGATGTCCTCTCTGTTGTAGAAAGTGAGTGTTGACGTCTCCTTTTAAAAATAGCAATATTTCATTTTAAATTAGTGCATCTTTTTGAGAAAAAAGGGGCAGTGCATCCTAAGAGCTACATAGATGTTCATATCCTTTACTCCCATGAATTTCACAGCTAAAACTGTATATTAAAGAAATAGCTCAATAGAAACAAAAATCTAAGGGAATTGTTATCTTACTTCTGCCTTATCTACAATAAAAAGAGCTTGGAAACAATTGAGATGCCCAATATTAGGGAAACGCTTAAAGAAATTTTGCTAGGAAGAAAATACAATAGAAAGATGTTAACATTTAGCATTTTAAAGCCTATACACATACATGGAAAAATGTTTATGCCATAAAGTCAAGTGAAAAAAAAAGTAGAATGTAATATTTGTACTCAGGGGCGTGAGCTGTTCACATATGTAGGGACAGTAACATTCCCCAAGTGGAAAGAATTGTTTCATTGGGTAGCAGGTTTATATTATGTAAAGAACACAGGCTTGGGAGTAGTGCTAGGCTTGAAGTCCAACTCAGCCACAAGCTCTGTGACACCGGCAAATTGTGGAACCTCTCTGAAGATCCATTTCTTCATCAGCTAAACAAGAAAATTCACTTAAAGAGCCTACGATGTAGTAGGAGCTCAGTACCATTATTTCTCTTTCTCTTTGCTAAATACTTGAGACTTCCTTGGGACGAAAACTTTTACTTAAATTAATTGATTTTTATAAGAAGGTCAATATTCTTGCTTTTGATCCAAGTAAGAGTTTTTATAAGCTCTTAGAAATTAATGATTAATGTGATAACTCTTTCCTAATTGGTCAATAATCTCATATTTGAATGCATTTCAGAAGGATATTAAATATTCTGGATTGGAGGTTGATTTCTATATACAGTTGAAAATATAAAGCTAAGAATTATATATAAATTTGTGATGGTTAATTTTGTGTCAACTTGACTGGCCACAGGGTCCCAGATTAAGCATTATGTCTGGGTGTGTCTGTGAGGGTATATCCAGATGATGTTAGCATTTGAATCAGTGCACTCAGTAAAGTGGGTTGCCCTTCTGAATGTGGATGGGCAACATTCGATCCACTGAAGGCCTAAATAGAACGAAAGGAGGAGGACGGAGAAATTCATCCCTTTCTGTCCCTTTTTCCTGCCTCAGTACTTGAGCTGGGACATCTCACCTCAACTCATCTCACCTTCTCTGGCCCTCAGATTGGGGTTTGCACCACAGGCTTCCCCGGTTCTGGAGATATTTGGATTGGACTGAAGTACACCATCAGCTTTCTGGAGTCTACAGCTTACAGACGGCAGATCACAGGACTTCTCAGCCTCCATAATTGAAAGAGCCAATTTCTCACGATATATATATCGTTCTATCTCTATATATCTCCTACAGCTTCTGTTTCTCTGGAGAACATTGACTAATACAAATTTTGGTACCAAGAGTGTGGAATTGTTTCTTTAATCTAATTAGATTTAAAGATGCTAATGGCTATTTCCAGTAGCAAGGGAACACTGATGGCCCACAGTGGGAACTGTTTCTAGAGATATGCAGAATATCTGCATTGGATACTCCTAATCAATCACTTATAAGAAGCAAGGAGCTAGGTGATGCTTTATATGATACTTTCAAACATTTTTGGAAAATTAATGACTATAATGACATTGGCTGGTTGTTCCTAACATTGCTGACAAAGTGGCAAAAGAAAAGGATGAGCTCAGGGATTCAAATTCCCAGCTCAGGCGCTGCATAAATGACCTAACAGCTTTTATGTGTGCCCTGAAGGACCCTTATCTCCTGTAGCTCCAGGGCTGAAATTGCTGAAAATCAAATGCAGAACCTCATCCTGAGGCTTGCTGAATTACAATGCAAGTTGAACTCCCAGCTTCACAGGTTGTCCACTGTTAAGGTGAGGGCATTTACTGGAAAAGAATGGGATCATAAGATGGAATGGGGATCTTTGTGAAGACTCTAATGAAGCTGGGGACATGAAGCCACTAAATTCTGATGTCTTATTTACCAGTGGAAGAAATCTCCCCACTCTGAGCAGAATTGGTCTCCACGCCCCTGGTGGCAGTGGTATTCCTACCTCCAGTGGTAATGACCCCTTCACCCATAGTGGTGAGTCCTAAGGAGAATCAGCATTGTCTTGCATGGCAACTACCTCAAGGGAGGCCATTAAAGTTTTCTTAGGCAATGTAGAGTTAACCCCTTCCGACGGAGGTGGAAAGGCCTACCAGTCAGAGTAGGAGCTTATGGAGGTCAGACGATCAATGGAGTTTTAGCTCAGGTCCATCTTAGAGTGGTCCAGTGGGTCCCTCAACCCATCCTTTGGTTATTTCTCCAGTTCCAGGGTGCGTAATTGGAATAGACATACTGAGTAACTGATAGAATCCCCACACTGGTTCCCTGAACTACAGAGGAAGAGCTATTAAGGTGAGAAAGGCCCAGTGGAAGTCATTAGTACTGCTCCTATTTAGCAAAATAGTAAATTAAAGCAATACCAAATTCCTGGATGATAGCACAGATCAGTGCCACCATCAAGGATTTGAAGGATGCGAGGGTATTGATTCCCACCACATTTCCATTCAACTCTTCCATTTGGCCTGTGCGGAAGACAGTTGGATTTTGGAGAATGACAGCGGATTGTCAAAAGTTTAGCTACGTGGTGGTGACTCCAATTGCAGCTGCTGTACCAGAAGTGGTCTCATTGCTTGAGCAAATTAACATATTCCTTGACACCTAGTATGCAGTTATTGATCTGGCAAATGCCTTTTTCTCCTTCCTTGTCCATAAGGTGTGTCAAAAGCAGTTTGCTTCCAGCTGATATTTCCCTTTCACAAGATATCACACTGGTCCATCACATTGATGGCATTATGCAGATTGGACCTAGTGAGCAAAAAGGAGCAACTGCCCTAGACTTATTGGTAAGACATTTGTGTGTCAGAGGGTGGGAAATAAATCTGACAGGCCTTCTACCTCAGCGAAATTTCTGGGGATCCATTGGTGTGGGGCATGCAGAGAGATCCCTTCTAAGGTGAAGGATAAGCTGCTGCATCTGGCCCCTCCTACAACCCAAAATGAGGCACACTGCCGCCTGGGCCTCTTTGGATTTTGAAGGCAACATATTCCTGATTTGGGTGTGCTATTCCAGCCCATTTATCAAGTGACCTGAAAAACTGCTGGCTTTGAGTGGTGTCCGGAACAAGAGAAGGCTCTGCAACAGATTCAGGCTGCTTTGCAAGCTTCTCTGCCTCTAGGGCCATATGATCCAGCAGATCCAATGGTGTTTGAAGTGTCAGTGGCAGGCAGGGATGCTGTTTGGAGCCTTTGGCAGGCCCCAGAGGTGAATTATCATGGAGGCTT